CATATATTTATTTTACAATGTATAAAATATTTATATTATGATCTATCTGATACACTACGTGACATAAACGGTGTATCAATTTGGTATAGGAGAGTATAGAAAATTGCATATGTAACCTCACAAAAAAAAAACCAACACAATCGGACACTATTTATGTTGCATAGTGTAATACTTTTAAAAATCTTTTCAATTATGTAGTAAAAAGGATAAAAACAAATCGCGCAGTATGTTATTTTTACATTATGGAAATATAAATAGACATTACTAGACTGGTTCATCAAAATTGTATATGTCGTGTTTTCAATACTGTTTTCCTTTTTCAGACGAAAAATTATGTCTATTGTATTCGAATGTTCCTCAAAATATATAATGGATTATCAAGAATATATTGTTGTTGCATTTGAACAATTGTATAACATTTCTTTATAATTATATATGATATCATGCATAGTTCATAAGTGTGCACCATAATAAAATCAGATAGGAATATACACAAAAAGAAAAGGCACAGTTCAAAAATAAACTAATCAAATCTCATTTATATTTCTACAGAACTAGAAAAAACAGTTTATTCCTTTTGTGCAATTACTTATTTATTCAATATTTTTATATGTACATAAGTTACTAACGACCTGTGAATTGATGAAAAGGTAGAATGAAATAAGAATAGCATTAGCGCAGACTAAGTAAATTTGAATGTTTTAATACTGAAGACGCCTAAATTCATATTATAATCAATCAATTACCATACACTTATTTTTAACTTTAGTGAGTTCAAAAAAATGATAATCAAGGAGTTTGTAATATTTAAGAACTCTACAAAATTTCGAAAATCATAACTAACAACCCTCAGTTTCAAAAAAATTCTTTTAGTATCATATTTTAACATTAAATAGCTTTTCCAAAGTATGTACGCTTATTTTTATCAATTCAATCTAAACTGTCCTATAAAAAAATTTATAATATTCAAAAAATGAATAGCCATAGGCGAAAAAGGACAAAATGTTTTCCGTCACTAAACCCATTAGAAAAAAATATAAAAGAAAGCAACTAAACTGTTGTATTTTTTTGTTTTTTTTTATTATCAATATATGGGGTAACTGAGGATAAAATAAAAATAATGATAATAAAAAAAAAACTATTTGCAAGTTAACTTCAATCAACTTTATTAAAAAAATAGAGTCGATTGAAACTAACTTAAAATGAAACTAACTTTAAAACTAACAAAACGCTTAAAATTTCTAATTACGATTAAAAAAAAAATACATTTATTTAGGAATATTCAGCATAAAATTTCCTTTATTATTTCCTGCAGCTAGTGATTTGTATTTTATATCTTGTGATAAAAATATGTAATTCGAAATGTTCTCAAATTTCTATAGGAAATCTTTTGAGGAATATACCTTTTTACTGCAAAAACGATTTGTTCATTAAGTTGCACGAATTTACCAAATAAAGATTAAAAGGAAATTATCGAAACGTGACAGAATTTGGTTTTGAATACGAAGAGATGAAATGCTCACTTCTTCCGTATCGTCAGCTAAGACTTAAAAAAGAATGACATAGGGTGGTAAAATGTTTATTCATCCCAAATCGTGACGATAAGGTAAAACGTTCACTTTACTCTTCGGACAGGCACAGTACCTTTCGCTTTACCAATCTTCAAATTCATTTACCTTTTAGTTATTTAGGACTTGGGAAAATTGGTCACCATCGAGTGGCGCAACGCGAACTAAGCGAGTATACACGGATTATTACAATATATGTCCAACAGCTATCGGACGATCTGACAAAATAGCAGAATATAAATGAGCGAAAATTTTATCAACTTCCAAGAAAACAATTATTTGAATAGTTTCGATTCTACGAATCCCATATTTCGACATATCTCGACGTTTCGAGGTCCCCAGAATCGAATATAGTAATTTTTTAGGTGGGCGTACGTGTGTGTGTGTATGTACGTATGTTCGTATATTCGAATGTGCGTTCAGAATTATTTATTGTCTCGATTATCTGGAGAACAAAAAATAATATTGACGTGGAACCAATTGCATTTGACAGGTAATACGCAATTCAGAACTGATTATATTTTCAGCAAAATTGATCCTGTCATTCATTATATAGAATCAGAGAATTAAAAAAAAAGGTATACTAACTAAATCTTATCATTCTTTCCACTGGGATGTTAGTTGTGTGGACTTTCCAAGTCATACTCAGACCACGACAAAGCACTGATATTCATCTTAATTTCGCATTTGTACTTTAAGAGAATTTATTCTTTATTTTCATGTAAAATCTAACAAGTTTCAAGAATTTACTATTTTTTCGTGATTAATGTAATCAATTTTATATATTTTCTACACAATAAAGTATCAAAAATATTGTTTCTTAATTCAAATAATATAATATTATTCAAATAGAAATTCCATTAAAAAAATCCCCAACTCGCAATATCGTCTACGTAATATGGCCAGAATAGTCCAGTCAAATGAGTGAAATGGGATAATTTTGGTTTGCTATGGCCAAAGTCATGATTTATAGATGACTAGATCGGAAATTTTGCAAGGAATACGATGGTGTAGGTCAAAAATGTTTGGCACGCATAGGGGCGGGGGGTAAATCGCGAAAAACCGCCCCCCATCGCGAATTTCTGGATTTCTATCATAAATATGAAAAAATGTTTTCAATACGAGTTGTTCAAAATGTAATTTTAATAAAAAAAAAGGACAAATCACTCTTTTTCATATTTATGATAGATAAAAAGTTATTCGCAACTGAAGCTTCATAATTGACAAAAGCTTCAGTCGCGTCTAAGAAATTAAAAAAAAATAATTAACGCTACAAATATCACTTTGTGGCGATTTCTTTCAAAACATGAAATATGAAACTATATTCTCAGAGAAAAAGAACATTTTTTGTTAAAATGCACCGATCAGTCCAATTTTTTGCTCGAAATGTACAGAATCAAAAACTGAACAATTTACCTATACAAAATTCTGGTTTATCTGTCACCTGTCAAAAGTTAGACAGGTTTTAATATTTGGGGGCCCAAGCGCGCTTTTCTTATTCTGACGCTATTGGGTGCAACAGAGAACAATAGAAATCGCTCTATTTTACTTGCACTCACACAAAACTCCTGCGCACGCGCCGAGTATTGTAAAGCATGAGTGCGAGTGAAATGCACACTCCATCCGTAACTGTGACAAAGTACTGTACGGTGGCGATTGTTTTTAAAACATGACACACAATTACCTCAATCAATCTGAAAATGGACATACATGTTCTTGACATATCTGAGAAAATGTATGCTAGTTCTTGCATGTTCGTGATGACCAGAAGTCATTGATTTAAATTTAAAAAAAATAAAAACATGGTGTATTTTATTGGAGAGAAAAATTTATATCTCTCACACATCTGAAAATGGACATCCATGTTTTTATTTTTTTTAATTTAGATGAATGACTTCCGGTCATCACGAACGTGCGAAAATTGGCATACATGTTCCTAGAGATGCATAGAACATGTATGTACAGTTTTAGCTTGATTAAGGTAAATATTGAGGATAATGTGAGATCGGCAAAATAAATTCTCGCGCTGGTAGAATTTCGAGCTCGGAAATACTTTTTAACTACCCAGAATGAGCCTAAAACATCCCTCTTTACTCACCGTACAGTACTTTGTCACAGTTACGGATGGAGTGTGCATTTCACTCGCACTCATGCTTTACAATACTCGGCGCGTGCGCAGGAGTTTTGTGTGAGTGCAAGTAAAATAGAGCGATTTCTATTGTTCTCTGTTGCACCCAATAGCGTCAGAATAAGAAAAGCGCGCTTGGGCCCCCAAATATTAAAACCTGTCTAACTTTTGACAGGTGACAGATAAACCAGAATTTTGTATAGGTAAATTGTTCAGTTTTTGATTCTGTACATTTCGAGCAAAAAATTGGACTGATCGGTGCATTTTAACAAAAAATGTTCTTTTTCTCTGAGAATATAGTTTCATATTTCATGTTTTGAAAGAAATCGCCACAAAGTGATATTTGTAGCGTTAATTATTTTTTTTTAATTTCTTAGACGCGACTGAAGCTTTTGTCAATTATGAAGCTTCAGTTGCGAATAACTTTTTATCTATCATAAATATGAAAAAGAGTGATTTGTCCTTTTTTTTTATTAAAATTACATTTTGAACAACTCGTATTGAAAACATTTTTTCATATTTATGATAGAAATCCAGAAATTCGCGATGGGGGGCGGTTTTTCGCGATTTACCCCCCGCCCCTATGCGTGCCAAACATTTTTGACCTACACCATCGTATTCCTTGCAAAATTTCCGATCTAGTCATCTATAAATCATGACTTTGGCCATAGCAAACCAAAATTATCCCATTTCACTCATTTGACTGGACTAAAAAAAACAATAGATTTATTCGAAGAAATTTCTCGATCGCCTGAAAAATACGATTATCACTATGTTAGGTCTCCACTTTTTGCCCTCTCTCTCTCTGTCTCTGTCATTATGCGCTTGACGGCAGACACTCTTATACACAAATGTCTTCCTTTACCTCACCCTGCAATTCTATGTTTTTTATTTACCCAATAATTATATAATCTATGGACAAATTATGCATACATTTGTCATATAATTCATATTTGAGCTTTCATTTGCAGTATCATTAATTACTTTCTATGCATTTATTAAAAAGATATTGAGTTCTAAAGATTTAAAGTTGTACCTTTTCTAAAAAATATTTCCATCATGGACAAAAGTTGAACATTTCAGGTTTTTTTCAAGTTTGTAATGCTGTTTGAACTGCAAATTATCATACATAGTCTATGTATATTCATTATCGAGCTCTTAATATTCATGACAATGATAAACAAGTAGAATATGTGTTAAATCTATAATGTTCCATTGTTATTGATTATCCACATTCGTAAATTATCTATCAAGAGACACGTTTATTTTAGTAGTGTCTCGAGCGCCAAGTATGAATAGCGGTAACGAAGGCACTACCGTGTCTCTATTCCGCTCAAATTAGCACTTTTGAGGTTATGCTCCTTTAAATTTCTAATTTCTCTGCAATAATGACATAAACTTTATTAAAAAATCTTTGAAAACCCCATTGATTAGCTACGACAATAAATTGCAATTGCTATTGTGCCCTGAAAATCATTTATTTGCAAAAATAAAAATTGGCCACGCCCCTTGTACCGCATTTTAAGTAAAAAGAATCTTTTTCCTTAAAAGTACGACTTTTTTTTGTAAAGTTGGTACTACCATGAAGTTGCTACATGACTATGGAAAATATTATGTTGGTAAAAAACGAAAGAATTACTGAGGCGCCAAATTATGAATGTAAATTTTTTTTGGTACAAAAAATTAATAAAAAGTAATAAAGTTTTGGGGAGTGTATCCATCGGGGAATATACCGTGTACCTATTACGTAAATAAAACAACCATCTTTCAATAAATGTTCTTTTAGCGCTGGTGAGCGTGTTGAATGCTCCTTTCTGTCAAACGTACCTATACATAAATCAAGTAAGTACGGTAGTTGATAGTAGCGGTAAATTAATCATAAATTGTCAGACGAAGATATTTTATTTATCTGTCAATAGTTGTGACTGTACAGAGATATTAAAAATCGGTGTGTGATTGATTTTCTGAATACTTTTTAATAAAATTCAATTTACAGGTCATCGAAACAAGAACACAAAATTTACTAAAAGATGAACAAACGAAACAAAAAATTAAAATAGATGTTTCTACAAAGAAAAAAAAAAGAGGTAGTGTGGGAAAAATCTCAAGCTGCGGAACAAAATGTAAGGGTTATTTTATTGCAATAACAATGAAGTAAAGTACAACCAAATGAACATTGTCATTTTATAGTTCAATGTCTTGTTCCAGATATTACACATCAAAAAGAAAAAAAGAAGAAGAAGAGAAGTTGGAAAAGAAAAGAAAAGGGTTCGACAAATTATTAAAAATATTAGGAGAAAATTAAATAGATTTAAAATCATGTTTTCATGTTTTTTTGAATTTTTCATAATTTTGAGATACAGATAAATTAAAATATATACTTTCTTTGGTAAATAAATAAAAAATATAAAAAAAATAATCAATGAATATTCTACTAATCATAATGAATATACTTTATATCCAATAAATACATGTACTAGAGGATCATTGAATAAATAAACACAATGAACGGTTGAAACTGTTTCGACTCTACCAACATTGTAAATTTACTACTAGCACATTTCGAAAGGGGCACAAATGTTATATGACCAAAATGTTCAGGACAGTATAGTACTGGTACAAATGTCGCTCCAGTACAATAGTATAAGGCATTAAAGACGCAACAGTTAAAATTGTGTTAAAATTATTAATAATTTTTTTCAAAATTACTTTTTATTTGAATTGAGTTTTTGGGAAAATTCTAAATATAGATTTACAGAAGAATTCAAATAGTTATTCTGTTGACTTTTGATTCACTCTCATGTGAATGCAGCATGAATCTTCTGTCTACTTACGACTTCATTCTGAACGGTCAATTTCCCCCTAAAGAAAACCAAAGTGTACAAAGTCTAGAGATTGTTATTTATTTTATAATGTTTAACGAAAAATTAAGTGACTCATAAATGATAAGTAAGGTAGCTAATCTATTTTTTGCATTTCATCACAATAATTAAAAATTGAACATAATAAGTATTTCTTTTCTTTTATTTGTAGGAAATTCTCATGAAAAAAGTTGATGGTGGGAATGCAATAGAAGAGAAATTGTATCCTACTAAATTGAAGAAAAAGAGAGGAGGAAAAATTTAAAGAATAGAATTTAAAATTTATGTGTTCATATGAATTATTGCACTAATTATTTTACTTACATCTCCTCACTTATTACTTTTTAGATTTCATAAGTTAAAATCAGAAAAGGCGCAAAAATCTAATATGCCGGAAAATTTAAGGTGCCGCTTCTAATTCTGAACCTGCGTGGATGTTATGCACGACGATCGATCGTACATTCCGCGCTGTCATTATGCCGTGTCCGTATTATGCCGACCGAGTTTTTCGGTATCGAAAACGACAAATATTTATGTACATTTTAAGTTGATAGGTAATACATAGAATGTATAACCGATGGTTTTACGTTTTAAAAAAAATCGTTTTACGTTTTTTGAAAACTAATTCATGTCCTTCAATCAATAATTTTGTTTATCTCTTAAGATCGGTAAGAGATAACAATTTTTTTTTTATTGAGTTGATAGTTAAATACTACCAGACTGAAGACTATTATACAGTACTGGACATAAATGCTGTGTGATTTTCTATAGGACGGTATAGGAAAATCGCTTGTAGAACCCTTAAAAAATTGAACAGCATTTATGTCTGGTACTGTACTATCTATACACAGATAGTGATGTCTGTTCTAAAATTCCATGTCGTAGTAACGGAGTCGAATGATACATATTCCGTTTGTTGTACAAAAAATCGTGAAATCACACCAAAAACAGCCCTAACGGACTTCACAAAAATACGCGCCAAGTATGAATAACGAAGACGATAATCATCGTTTATCAAGTGCGATCTCTATAAAACTTCTTTATGTGAACAACTACAAAAATGCGTGAAATCATTGCAGCCAAGTATTTGAACATAAAGATTAATTATATTTAATAAAATAAAATAGAAATGTTTTTTTAATTTTCGTTAAATTATTATGTAATTTTCTACATAAATCAAAGACAAACTCTTTATAATGAGATAAAAAAAACATTCAATACATGAAGATAGTTGACAGCCTTATGACGTTTTAAAATTTTGAAAAAAGAAGAAAAAAATTGAATTAAAAAAAAATTTCTCTTTTTTATAAAAATTTATTTAAACACAATTAACTTGGCGTGGCTATCGATTATATGAACCATCTAATCAATTATCGTTTTATCTACAGCTGTAAGAGCCACGCCAAGTTAATTGTGTTTAAATAAATTTTTATAAAAAAAGAGAAATTTTTTTTTAATTCAATTTTTTTCTTCTTTTTCAAAATTTTAAAACGTCATAAGGCTGTCAACTATCTTCATGTATTGAATGTTTTTTTTATCTTATTATAAAGAGTTTGTCTTTGATTTATGTAGAAAATTACATAATAATTTAACGAAAATTAAAAAAACATTTCTATTTTATTTTATTAAATATCATTAATCTTTATGTTTAAATACTTGGCTGCAATGATTTCATGCATTTTTGTAGTTGTTCGCATAAAGAAGTTTTATAGAAATCGCACTTGATGAACGATGATTATCGTCTTCGTTATTCATACTTGGCGCGTATTTTTGTGAAGTCCGTTAGGGCTGTTTTTGGTGTGATTTCACGATTTTTTGTACAACAAACGGAATATGTATCATTCGACTCCGTTACTACGACATGGAATTTTAGAACAGACATCACTATCTGTGTATAGATAGTACAGTACCAGACATAAATGCTGTTCAATTTTTTAAGGGTTCTACAAGCGATTTTCCTATACCGTCCTATAGAAAATCACACAGCATTTATGTCCAGTACTGTATAATAGTCTTCAGTCTGGTAGTATTTAACTATCAACTCAATAAAAAAAAAATTGTTATCTCTTACCGATCTTAAGAGATAAACAAAATTATTGATTGAAGGACATGAATTAGTTTTCAAAAAACGTAAAACGATTTTTTTTAAAACGTAAAACCATCGGTTATACATTCTATGTATTACCTATCAACTTAAAATGTACATAAATATTTGTCGTTTTCGATACCGAAAAACTCGGTCGGCATAATACGGACACGGCATAATGACAGCGCGGAATGTACGATCGATCGTCGTGCATAACATCCACGCAGGTTCAGAATTAGAAGCGGCACCTTAAATTTTCCGGCATATTAGATTTTTGCGCCTTTTCTGATTTTAACTTATGAAATCTAAAAAGTAATAAGTGAGGAGATGTAAGTAAAATAATTAGTGCAATAATTCATATGAACACATAAATTTTAAATTCTATTCTTTAAATTTTTCCTCCTCTCTTTTTCTTCAATTTAGTAGGATACAATTTCTCTTCATTTCTTTTTGAAGTGAAAACTTCTTTAGGCGCGTTGGAGCAATTTTTAGTAGGGGACAAACTTGTAAGTTCACATCACCAAATCATCCGCGTTACTGACATAGTAACGTTGATATAATATCTATAGCTATGAAGTTGAAGCGTTCCTCTTCTATAACAGTAGAAGTATATATATACATATATATATATACATGCAAGTGGACGTTTGGTAACATTTTGTGCGACCAAAGTGGAAGTTTGGTGACGAATTGGAATTTTGGTGACTGTCACCAAACTTCCCTACAACGATTATGGAAGTTTGGTGACAGTCATCAAACTTCCAAAATAATTTTGAAATCTACAAAAAAAAGAAAAGTAACAGAAAAATACGATAAATGTCGGATATACGGTTAAAAACCATATAATATAATAAGTTCTGTTCTTCAAGAATCTAAAAGGAGCAGAATAACTGAGGAAATATCAAAATTTGTTACAAAAAATAGATTTATAACAATTAGTTATTTAATTTTTTACCTAATAACGGATATTGAAGATTAAAACGAATAGTATTGATATGGAATTTCGGTGACTGTCACATTTACATTCTGTGTTCACTGGGTAACTCCTCCAGTTACAGGAGCACTCTTACTGATGATGAAAGGAAATGATCGTAAAACTCAATTTCTGTTCTTTTACAACAAATAGTATGTTACGAACAAAAGAAGTATGTTTATATCCATTTTACACAGTGTATAACATTGTTTCAGTAAAAGAAAAAATTTCCCGCTGAAAGATCTCAAATTGAATAAATCCTGTTTTCAATTGTTTATAACAAATTTAATTGTTATAAACAATTAACATTAACAAAAAGTAGCATATATCTTTCCGAACAACCCCCTCTACATATCTGTTAAATTTGGTCGCAATCGAATTAACCGTTTTGGAGATTACCCCGAACAGACAGATAGACACCAGAAATTTATATAGTAGTATATATACGTGCAAGTGAAAGTTCGGTAACATTTCGTGCGATCAAAATGGAAGTTTGGTGACGAATTGGAATTTTGAAGACAGTCACCAAACTTCCAAAAAAATTTTCTTCTTCCAAATTAATTTTTTTGTTCAATAAGGTTACTAGAAACAACGCGCGCTCTCCGAGCGTGCTGTCTCAAGACGACAACGTTAAAAATTATTTAATTTTTATTTTTATTTATTTCGAAAATTTAAAAATTTATAACAATTTTAGGTAGTTCCTATGCTACATATGTGCATTTTCTGCTCTTTTATTACTTTGCCAAGCCAGTTTTTTATTTTTCTGAAATAGAAAAAAGTTCAATGAAATAATGTCTTATGAAAATAGTGAAAAATATGATATTGCAATAAGACATTATTTGAAGCCAACCACAAAATTTATAACAATTTTGGATATTTATTATAATTGTTTTTTTTTTCAATCATCTAGAACATCATTTTATCCATGATTCCAAATGAAATCTATTAAAATCGATATGCAACACGCGGGAAACACTGCTTACTTTTTTTAATCATATTCTTTCGTTGTTATTATTCGACAAACACTTATTTTTTATTGATCATTTAATACTTTTCTTTACCAATAATTCCTAAAAAAGTTTATTCAAATCGATATACAACACGCGGGAAACATTTTTTATTATTCAGAACATAGATGTCTCTTGGTTAGGCAAGAGAGAAGGAAATATTACGAGGTTAACGTGAAAGAGAGTGATAACAATACATAACGCAAGAAAGAGGGCACTGTAGGGAGCCCAATGTGAAAGAAAGTGACAAAAGACACATTCAGTAAGAGAGAACACATGATAGAGCGCTCGATTAAGTAGAGTGAAACAGCGAGCAAAAAAATCTTGAATAGCAGAAAT